TTCCTTATCCTCGACGTATATTATGTGGTTTTACGGTGCAACGGTCGAATTGATGTTTTGCTCTGTAACAATGATCATTTGATTAACGAGTGAATAAAAGAAAAGAGAAAAAAGAAATTGGTCGCAGGGAGTCGAGAGAGTCTATGTGTTATTCTGTTCGATGGGCTGGTGATGTCCTTTGACCGGGGCCAGTCAAACGCACGCCTGTAAAATTACTCGTCGCGAGGGCTCTCCCGTAAGGATACACGGGAGACAATTTCGGGGTGTGAAAAATATTAATAACGCCGCGTACGCTCGACTGTGTATATATATATGTATAAAAGGGATGGCGTGGAAAGGGCTGTCTTTCGCCGCTACGAGAGCGTAAGAGCGGTGGGGTGGCAAGTGTTTCTGTCAGTTTAATAGCTCCGCTGGTGCTCGCCCGCTTCGTGAGAAAGAGAGACGCCCCCACCCACGTATACAGTGGCGCGTCATGGCTTCCTCCTCCTTTTACGACCTCGCGCTGATGCCGTGTACGCGCGTGTCAAAAGTTGCGCCTACAGATACCTATACGTATGTATATATGACTATACACACGGTAGCCGCAGAGCTTACCCATTGACTCCTCGTTACTTTGTCTTTCTCTCTGACGTGCGCTGCTTTGATTTTGGTACAATCTCCTCCATGCTTTGGCTCCTGCGACCAACTGGCGCGTGTGTGACTCTGACAAGGAGCACAAAACACCCCGAGGTTTCATGGATACGCTACAACCCTTTGCGTCATTTACGCCTTACGATACTCGTGTGTTTACGTGCATCGGCTGAAATACAACTCGTCATGTTTATCTATCCTTTTAATAATAAAATTTCGCTGTTTCTCGCTGCAGAGACTTTTAAATAGGGATTCGGGGCTTTTACGAGGTGACAGAGCTACCAGTCGCGAGGTGATAATATTGGCTGGTTTAACAACGCGGTAAATCACATTACCAAACGTATGTACAACAGCCGGAAAGGATGAATCGCGTGTACATGTATAGCCATAAAGTACAATAACGGAGCCGCGAAATGTATACGTTACACATGCCAGTTCACCCGCAATCTCTTTCTTTTGCCTCGAATGAAGATTTGTTGTTCGCTGGGCCGGTTTTTTCCTTGCGCGCCCGCTGTTCCGTTGCCATTGGCTTCGACCACCCCCCAGGCCATCCCCCGATCCTTCATGATTTCGCGCGACAATTTTTCGCCACCCACCCCCTTTTCCGTACGCCGCCACGACTATATTAAAATTTAGAGTCGGCTGGTTTAATATACACTCCATCCGTGGTGTAACATGTATACGAGTTTCATGTCTCTCAATCGTGGTAATATTATGTATGTGCATTTTGATCAAAGGCTCCGTACAGCGGCGTTCCCACGTTTTTCCGGAAAAAAAAAATCCAGCTCGGCCTGTCCGCGAGCTGCGCGTATACGAAGCAACGGACCACGACGAGATATTATTTTACCATTGACGTGTATTTTCCTCTCTTTCCTCAAATTCTCGTTCGTCGGGATATCGCTTCGCGGGAGATGTGTGTAGATTTTTTGGCCGAATAACGGACCAACGCCGCTTGGAAGGAGCGAGAAACCGGAGCCTGAATCCGCGCGCGGCTAGAGACGTTATACGTATAAGGTACACCGCAAAGAGACCCGAGGAAACGTATAACGAAAAAGGAAGGAAAAAAAAAAAAAAAAAAAAACAGCTAGAGATGACGAAAGTCAAAGCCACTCGATGATGTGTCTCGTATTGTGTTGTACGGAGGCAAAATAGCACTCTCTAGCCTGTTGGCGCCATCCATAGAGGGGGGGTCCATCAGCTTACAGCGGCTGACCCGCTTGACGCTCTACGTGGGGTCTCTCTCTCGCCTCCGGTTCCGGCTCCTTGACAAAAAAAAAAAAAAAAAACCCTCAAAAGCCGTCCGTGTTCGTCTTGTTGCGTGTACAGGCTGCGTGAAACGAAATCCAAACGAATCTGTCAACGCCTGGCCACCGCGTGTAGACTCGTCTCTCTGCCGATGGGGCTCATAAAATTTTTCACGACCCCCTCTTTCTTTCTTTTTTTTTTTTTTTTCTTCCTGACAAGTTACTTGATTGAGTCCAAAAACTAGAACTCTGTCTTATTGTGGTATACCGCGTGGCTTTAAAACGAGGTTTTGGGCTTATCGCGAAAATAGTCATTGTGAATACTAACGTCAAAGAATCTTTGTTCGTTAAAAGTTTTTTTTTTTTTTTTAAGACGATTTCATGGAAAAAAAGTACGCAATGCACAGACAGTCGAAACCAAGGAGCACAGCATTGGTTTTTACATTATCTGGATTCGTACGAAAAAACAATCCGAAAGATATAAAGTTTTCTTGTAAACAAACAATCCGATGTTATTTCCTTGTACGGATCAGAATAGGCTGATGTTTAATCGAGTGAAAAACACGTACTGCAATGCATTACAGTTACCGATTCCTCGGGAAAAAACCTTAGAGCTGAAAAAAAAAAAAAAAAGCGTTTTCGAAATCTCTTCGAGACAAGATCGCATATACCCTCCGACAAGCACTCGATGGAAATAAACTGCATCCTTCCGTGCAGTAGATTATACTTGTGTTCGACATTCGAGAATATCGCGTGCAAGTGCGCCACCGGGAGTTAACATCCACGTATAGGTACGGATGGATCCATACTACGAGGACGAGAGGGTGCTCGTCCCTCCCGTGGCGGCGGCGATGCTCTGTCTCTTCCCTGTAACGTCCGTGGCGAGGGATGCTGCGCGCGGCGCCGGTGGTTGTACACGGTATACTCTGCAGCCCCGGAGCGATGCTTCTCCCCGACTCTCTCTCTCTCTGCGTATAGCACACACGCACACACGGAGTAAAAGAGAGAGAGAGAGAAGCGGCGTTGCCGGGGTGGGGGAGAGGCGCAAAAGCGGCAGCAGCCGAGGAGAGACGATGCGATAGGGGTTGCTCCGCCCGCGGGCCAACCAGCGCCCCGGAACGACGATCCTCGCCACACCCCGAGTCTTCCTTCCCCGTGTATACGTATAACCCACGGAGAATCATCGCCCATCCGCGCGCGTGCCATCCTCGTCTCCCTTACTCTCTCTCTCTCTCTCTTCTCGAGCTGAGATTTCGGATCCTCGACGCTAGTCCGCCCGGAGCCGTGTACGCGGCCACGCACGCACGTCCTTCTCTCTCGCCATCTGTATACCTATACGCGCGCGAGCCACCCCCTACACGGTTATGGGGCTATTGCTGTTGGATGCTACCCGTGCACCGTGAGAAGAGTGTGTGTGTCTACTTGCCATGGGGCCCGACGGTGTGCCTGACCCCGTGGTGTCGAGTCCCGGGTGCCGGTCGGTGAACCCCCTCGTTTTGCGGTGCGCGCTTGGACGATAAACTGTGTGTTGTACATTGTTGACCCCGTGATATATCGAGAGAGAGAGCCGCCATGGAGTGCCTGGACCTCTCGATGCCCGCTCTCCTCCGCGACGATTACAGGAGCGCCAGCGGTGAGTTTTGTTTTTTTTTTTTCATCGCCGAGCGCTCGAGACGATCTGGAGCGACGAAAAAACATTGAGCCCCTCTCGCGGATGCTTATCGCTCGGTGGCTTATCGAATGTGCGTCAAGAGATCATCGACAGGCTATACGTAGGGGCTTCTTATCTGTACACGCAGATTGGGGCATTTGTGGCTTCGTTTATTTCCCCCCCCCCTTTTTTTTTTGCGAGTGTATAAATATATGCCTAAATGTACTCGCGTCGGTAACAATGTTACTCATTTGCAATGCTGCAGTGCGAGCAACACATGGTTTTTACGGAGATCCATCAGTTATGCAAAAACAATATTAATTTACGGCAGAAAAATAATAAACTAATCTTGTTACGGACGCCGAGATTGAGCGCAGTTTCATCAAATATTGCAGAACTATAGGGAGGGACATTTAAAGTGGATCACCGTTGACATTTGCATAATTGCCTTATCGTTACTCGTATGTGTAATACCGGGGTCGAATTGCGAAAAGTACCGATTGGGTTATTATGCAAAACCGGACCTTCTGGCTATGTGATATCCTATTACGGAAATGTCCAATCGTTGTCTGACAGGCACTAATTATTTATCAACAACTAGCACCAATGATTTACTTAGCCATCATTTCAACAATCGTTTCTGTTTTTATCGCTCATTAAAATTGTTTTATTACACGCTGCACAATTGAAACCTTTATCTCTCAGCGATCGAGCCAATGAGAAAACAAAGAATTTATGAATTTACCATCATTATATAGTATACGAAAACACACACTTTTTTGAAGCCCTAATCCGAGCACTTGAGGCTACGATATAGAGTAAGTATCGCCCGAAACTGCTCGAGTCAGAGCGAGAGCAAAGTCACCGATGGCTTTCGATCCCCGCGTTCAAGGATTTTGTGTACACAAACCCTCTTATTATCTCAATGGATGTACGTTTTTTTTTCTGTACACTTTCACGCCCCAGCCGTAAAATCATCTTTACGTACACTCGTTACCAGTAATGTCGCTCGTGTCGGATGACGCCCCGGCACGGATCAACCCGGCCTATTTTTTTTTTTTTTTTTTTTTTTTTTCGTGTAAGCCCAAAAGACGACACCGTACAGTTATACCTCTTGGAGACAGCTCACGCGTGTGTTTACGACCCTCCACGAAATTTGTTTTACCCCGATTTTTTTCGTATCGGGTTTCGTTATATAGTTTATCATTGGGACACTAGACGAATAGAGGGCCTTTTGAACGATATACCGCACGTTGCCGCGTCATTTACGACTCGCGTGATGATTGCACGGCACCTTATCTACGAGACACTCGCGCGTCTAGGATTTCTCGGGGCGGAGTCGTAAAAAATAAAACTCGGACCAACCAACGACTCTCGCACGCGTACAGTGGACTCTTTCTTTTTTTTTTTTTCGTTTTTTTTTTTTCCTCACTTTGCCAATAACTAGCACAAAAATATGAATCCCGTGATTTCAGGTAGTAGCGACGAGGGCGAGGCGGCATCGGCGGTGTCGGCAGTAGCAGCGGCAGCGGCCGATAGCGCCGACATGGAGGAGAACAGCTCGATACGGTCGTCCAGTAGCCACAGCAGCCACAGCAGCAGCCACAGCAGCCACAGCAGAAGCAGCAGCAGCAGCAGCAGCGGCTACAGGGAGCCCAAGCTCCTCCAGTCGCCCGGCAATGCCGTCGATCCGGGCCTCGTGGCCACCGCTGCCGGAGAGCCACGGCCCGCCCACCGTCACCACAACCACCACCTGCACCACCACCACCACCACCACCACCATCGCGAGCTCGACGAGTACCTGCGGCTCTTTGACGAGCAGACTCATCGGCTGCAACAGCGGCCACTGGAGCCCCACGAGGAACCCCAGCACAGCGACGACGAGCGCAAACCCTGGGACTTTAGTGGCAGGCAACAACCGCAACAGCAACCTGCGACCGGATTTCAGTTTACGAACTTTGCCAAGTGCGACTTCCCGGACGATTACCGTACGTATATTTATTGTACACGGAGCTGGGGGACCCGAATTACTTTTCTACCCCATTTTCGCGAGATTAAAAAATCCATAAAAATGAGTTGTCCCTCCACAACCCGTGTCTTTGTTGTTGCAACGCGTAGACGGTGGTGGTGGCGGCCCGAAAGAGGATATGCCGCTGCAACGACGATCCCTGCAGGAGCCGCGGGAAGAGCCGCACCACCAGCTGGGGTCCGAGTGGTCGAGGTCGCTGCCGGACAGCGTCGAGGTGACTGTGCAGGACTCGGGGCTGCCGCAGCTCAGGGCGCGCAGGGACATTGCCGAGGGCGAGAGACTCGGCCCACTACCGATCGGTGGCGGCAACGGTGCCGACTTTGGTCCCGCGGCCAACCCTTACGAGGTTGGTACACTTATATTTTGCTTTCGGTTGTGACGCCGGATGGTGCGCATCACCGGAAAAGTGGCTCTTTGAGTACATGTAGCAAAAAAAAAAAAAAAAAAAAAAAGGGGGGGGTTGTTTCTGCACTCGAGTCGCGTTACCTTGCTCCGGAGAAAGATAATAACCATACCTTGGGTTGATTGTACAAAATGTCTTGATAATNTGCCCGAACGAAAAAAAAAAAAAAAAAAAAAAAAAACAAACCATAGCGATAAAAAAAGAGAGAGAGAGAGAGAGAGGGTGAATGAGAGAAACAGTTGCGAGACCGTTTGAAAGATGATCGATCTGCTTATAACGAAGAGAGCCGAGGTACAAAGTACAGTATATAGATAGGTTGCTCTCTTCCCTGCGTGTGGATGCGGTGCAGCAACGGGCTCTCCTCTCTTCTTCTTCCTCGCATAATCCCGGGTATTATCCGGCAGATGCCGGCATCGACGGAGAATCGACAGAGTCGTCATCACCGCTGTCGTTGTTGTCCTCTCTCTCTCTCTCTCCTTTTTTTTCCACGACAACGACCACCTGGTTCGTGCGCAACTTTCAACTCGATGTGTCCTCCTTCTACTTACTTCTTCTCCGTAATGCTCTTGTCGCCTGCGACGACGACGCATTCCGCGTACCATGTGTATTATGGTGGTAGTCCGGAGGTGTCATCCGTGTTGACAGATCTGTCAGTGGTTATACGGCTGGGCTCCGAGAGATTTCCAAATTTTTGACTCTCTCGGGAAAATGGGCCCATCCGAGCATAAGTGGGTACACAGGAGGCCGCGCCTTTATTCCTTTCAATTCTAGCTCGTGCACGCGAATAATAGCCCCTCTGGGTTGCTTCTCCTCCCTTTTCCGCTTGTGGATCGCAATTTGGGCAGCTCGTTGAATACGCTCGGACGTGTAGAGGTACACATCATACATGTGCACCCATACAGGCGATACGAAGAAAAAGTCACCAGTTATGCGTGTGGCTTTTAAACGAATATTTTATGCTCAGAGCTTGTCTCTTTTCTTGTACAATAAGTGTGTGTATTGTATTGTATGGTTACTCTGGAGAAAGAGACGAATTAACGACAATTCGATAAGAGTTTTTTCAGCCGGGGCTATTGGGAAATCTAAGAAACGTGGAATAAGTTTTTGTCCAACTCTTCCGATTCGCGAGTTTTTCTCGGAATCGGTAAATATAAAGATTAAATACGTTTATAGGCTAAGCTGACTCTCATCAACGTAATTTTACTTTTTATTTTACATAGGCAATAATAATCCACTGAAACTCTCGAACAAAGTTTTTACGTGAGGCTCGTGTACGAGTTGGAAATAAATGTATCGAGAAGAAAAGTCGTTGGAACTTTATCTACGTGATTTTGATAAAACTGTACGAATTCAAAGAGTAACCTTCATTTTTTACTCAACAAGTCGCGTTTAAAAGCTTTGATGGTGTACTTTATTCAACTTTATTGTTTTTTTTTTTTTTTCTTTCATTTCCACCCAGCAAGTTTCCTAGTTCCGTGAAAAACTTTCTTTTTTTTTTTAATTTTGTAACACATGATTTTTTTGGCAATACAAGCTTTCCGAGCCCTTTTATGCACAACAGGCACTCCAGCGACCATTCACAAGACTCCCCGCACCCAATGCCCCGAACCAACGTAACTATACGGCAAAGGATTGAAAGGGTGGGGGGGGGGGCAAAATAACTGATGTCCAAGCCAGCAAACTCGGACGTGGAAACGAGACTGACCATTGTAGCAGCGAGTGCCCCGTGATAGATATGATAGCGCGGGCATTGCGCGACCCCGGCGAAATGTAAATGGCCCCATCCATCCTCGGGGCGCCAACAGCCGGGCAAAAAGCCGCCAACAGCCGTACCGATTAAACTCACGGCCGCCCCCTCGTTTTTGGCGATCCGTCAGCCCGACGCTCTCCTCCGCTGGATTTTGACGAAATTTCGCACGCACCGCTCCCTACGTGTATAATACCTTACCTGTAGGAGCCCCCCCCCACCCGTATATACGCGGGGGGAGAAACGGAGCCCGAGGGTGCCTGAAAAAACGAATCTACCGAGGATGACGAGTGCGCGTATGATTTGAGAAAAGTCTCCCTCCGTATCGACGTTGTCAATCGGCCTTAATCCTTTTCTCACATCTTCTCATCTCGAGAAGCGACGGGAGCCTCCAAGGGGAGAGAGAGATCATCGGGCGAACCGACGTTTTTTCCGGAAATTTCACGCGTACAACAGATAGATGTGTGTGGACGCGTGTGCCCCGCGCGAGCTCGTAAATAGGGGTGGGGGGAGAAACTCGTGAATGAACAAAACAGGCGCATATAGGGTATGAGTATCGCGTACGTGTATACATATATACCCACCTGCTGCGCCGTCGGGCTTGTAACTATACGATGTATATATGTATCTTTTTTTTGTTGCCGCGCTCCGGATCTTTTGGGGCGGGAGGGGTGACGATCCGGTGGCGGGCTTGCGGGTACGTTTAGCTCGTTGACGCGTATATATATATAACATTCCTATACCGAGCCACGGCAGCTAAACCAATCTTGGGCTTAGTCAGGTCGCGCGTGAGCTCTTTGCTTGATGTATATACCTACTATGGCAACCCTCGTCTCTATATACCTATGTATGGGCGAGGCCAATTTGTCGGATGATTTCGAGCCTCCGCCACGACCATCGGCACGCGATTCGATAGCTAAGCTCGTTTATTTTTATTGCCCGATGCGCGGTCCTATTGCCCTTTTTTTTCCATCAACATGCGCGTTACTTGATTATTGATTCCGATACGAGCAATGGATTTCAGGGTTTGGTTCATCTACGATATCACGTCTCCGATCTTCCGTGCTTATTTTGCTCCTCCTCGGTGTCGTTAATTCCACGCGATTACGCGCGCAACGCCCCCGTATGCTGAAACGCACTCGGGCGGGTTCGATTGCTTGTTTTTCCATACGTGCACGCGTGCTCTCGAAGAAAAAAGAAAAAAAAAGGCGAGCGGGGACGAGTGTGATTGTGGTGATGATGCTGCGGTTCCCAGAGCACCAAAGAGAGAGAACTCGCTCACGCGGGGGTAAAAGGAGGGAGCCTTTTTTTTGGTAAATCGCGTGGAAAAGTGCACGTGCTCGGCCTCCCAGTGTAGTCCTCGTCGTTAACAGATTAGAGCTGCTCCCCCTCACGGATCGTTACCCACCGAGCACACGCAGGGTTTATTCGATAGATGTGAGATGTTTGAGAATTTTTAAGAATTTCCTCGTTTGAATGTGTACATGGATACATAATACGGGAAAAACCCACCGAAACGAGATTAGAGGCGTCGGACAATACAGCGCGTCCCGTTGGCAAATTCGGCTCAAAGAGCGGCACAATGGTGGTGCACGACAGCTGCCTACTCGTCCCATTAGCCGACCTTCGTCGCTCCGTGTAAGGGCGAGTAGGACCTCGTTAAGGGCAACGGTCAGCCCGGAAACGGCCCCACAATGGAGTTTAATTGTGACCCGCGGCCAGTTCCCAAGGCGTAGGGTTACTCGCCGAGATTTTCCGAATTTGAATTTGAAAAAAAATAAAATAAAATAACGTCACGCAACGGCCATCACCTCTCGTGTGTGTGTGTCCATTCTTCGGGGTATCGGGTTCTCCGGAAGCCGTGAGTGGCTGTTCCTGTTTGACCACGTTTGCACGTGTACCCGTCAGCTCTCGGTTTTCCCACAATTTTCCAAACGATTCGGATTCTTGATAATTTTACACCGCAAGAATAAACAACAAAAATGGCTTTTGCTCGAATGAGACAAAGGCACCGTGTGCAAGATATGGGTAGGGGGGGGGGGGAATTACAATAAAAATAATAGGTGGAAAGTGAGATGTCGCGCGAAATGGCCGTGACAGGGCGACAAAACGATGTATTATTAAAGCGTGTGTACCTGCACAACGAGACGACAGTCGGTGGACTGGCGTCATCTCCCTTACGCGCTCGCACCCTACAAACTATATGTGTACATAAAAGTGACCGACCGGCATCGCACCTATATACCCCTTTTTTTTTTTTTTCCTTCTCCACGGCTTTGATTGACACTCGCGCGCACCTTCTCGTATTATGCTAATCGCGATACGATACAGCAGCTAGTCCCGTGACATTTAAATTTACTCGCCCTGCGAATAAGCCAAGGACCGCTTCAACCCCTTTAGCGACCAGATCGCGCGTACACGGATGACGATGATGATGTTCCATTGTATTGTCATAAAAGCGTCATCTCTCGGCTATTTTGCCCTTTGTGCGAAATATTTGCTCGATTATTGTTTGCGCTGCTTATACATAATATACGCATGGACTAGACAGCCACGTACCCGGCACTTGGCGGAACCTGATATTTAATTTACATTTAGCGACCATTGCAACCCTTTCCCCTCCCTTTTGTATTTTTCCTTAGTTATATTAATTTAAATTTTTGCAAGCACAACACAGTAGACATATCGTACACAGATCAAAGGGCACACTATGAGAGATAAAATCAAGTATAGGAAAAGGGGGAAAATTCGGACAGCGAGGCGGGGGAGGAGCGATAAATCTCCCGGGGGCGCTTTATTGTCCGTCGAAAGTAGACATGAGCTTGCAACACGTGCATGTAGCAGCAGCGGGAGTTTAGATTTGTGCGCGTGACCCCGTTAATAGCGAGGCTTCCTCCCGTAGTTGGGTTGAGCGTGAAAAGGGGTGTCGTGGCACCCTCGGCTACACACGGACAAACAGCATCGGAGAAAGCATAGCGGACACAACAAGATGAGAAAAAGTACACCTATATATATATGTGTATACGTGGTATCGCACGAGAAGCGAGAAATAATGAGCAGAGCGCGAGGAGTTGCTCCACCAAGGTATACACGGCTCGCAAGTGTCGAAGGGGGGAGACCTGACGCGCGTAGGAAGCCGTTTCGCCCGAAAGAAGAAGAGAGCCCCCCCCATGCCCCACTGAAATCACCTCACCGC